CATAAAAAAATTATTGTTAACAGACATTTAAATCCTGTGTCAGTTGGAATTTAAAGAGACAAGACTTAAAAAAAATCATTTAAAACGTCCACTGTTTGAGGTACATGGAATGAATTAATTATTTTGTCCCCCGCTTGAAAAGGGGGGATATTGATTTGGGTCTGTCCGTCCGTCCGGCTTTCTGTCTGTCTGTAACGCTTTCGTTTCCACACAATATTTCGAAAACCCTTTGAGCTTTTGCAATGAGATTTTGCATAACAATTTCCTGTGGCTTAAGGAAGACCTCTAGTGATTTTGAGGTCAAAAAGTCGAACTTCAAGGTCATAAATGTAAACATTCTCTTTGTGTATAACACTACCGTTTTCGGGCGATATTTTAAGAGGATTTTGGGCTTTTGCAATGTAATTTTATACCAAAAGTCCCTAGGGCCTCTCTCGCCCCTCTCAAAGTGTCCCGCCCCGTTTCTTTTATTAGTATACTTTTATTAGTATATTTTATAGTATTACATGTCGTTATTTTTAGCACAGGGGCATAAAGGAGAGATATTACGCATATTACGCATGTTATATACCCTTTCCAACAAATGTTAATTGAAAAATCACCCTTAAACAAACCCTTTAATAAACACGAATAGACCTTATGTCTTAAGGTCTTGAATAAAGATTGAACAAGTGATTTCTTCACTTAGTGAGTATGAATATAAAATGTCAGGTTATAGCAAACAACAAATTGTATAAGAACAAAACGTTATGCTAATTTCTCAATACAATGCATCTAGCTTTTGTTAATATTCACAGGTTATAGCAAACAACTAATTGTATAGGGACAGAATGTTATGCTAATATCTCAAACCAAAACTCAATACACTGCACCATGCATTTGTTAGTAATAATGTCAGGAGTTATAAATATCAAGTTCAGGTCACTTTTTCCCTGTCGGGTATCCGCGTCGGTTGTGACGTATTTGGATGCAGTGAAAATGGCGAAGTCAATCAACCGCTTCGACTGATCGAAAGGATTTAGTCTTATTAAATGGAATCTGTAGTATGTAATTTTACAACTAAGAGACATCCTGTATTTAAAAGTAATCATTTAACCTGTAGCTCTGCCATTAATACACGAATTTAGTAAAAAGAAAATGTTCCGATGGTGACATGCTATAGAACAACGTAACATGTTTGGATGCCAGTGTTTACAAAACAGTGTACGGTTTGGATGAAGTTCTGATAGTAATTGGATGAGATTCTTTGATATAAATCAAACTTAACATTATGGTATAATATGTCAATTTTAACACTTTTATAGGAAGGGGCGGGTTTCCAGATAAATTGTTTGAAAACTTACCTAGAAACATCTTTAACGAAGAAATAAATGGTAACAAATCAGGACTTCATAAATCATATTTCGAAAAAAGGAGGGATCACTAACAAATACTATGAAAGGATAACTTGACTGTACTGCAACCCCGCAAAATAAAGAGAAGGTTTACAGGCCTTTCAATGAACAAGTTCCACAGCAAGAGGCTAAATATAATTTATATTTTGGGGAAAATGGTGTAAGAAGCCGACCTCCCCCCTTTTTAAGCCCTTAGTCAATATACTGATTCCCGTGGGGTTTTTTTTTCATTTCATTCTCTTATTACATAATCAGACATATTCGGTTTTTATGTACAATACATACCATTCTCTGAATATATTGATTCATAAAATAATTATTTACAATAAAATTAATCAATATTATAGTTATGTAATACACTGCTAAATAAAAGTTTATAACAAGTACCAATCCTGACAAATTGGCATTTTCCAATTCCGAAAATCCTATTTCGTGTGTGTGTGTGTGTATGGGTGTGACGGTGTGTGTGTGTGTGTGAGAGAGAGAGGGGTTTAATTTCTTTCTCTACCATTTTTCAAACACTATATACTGCTTACCTTTTTTGATTATATGCCTGTTGAAATGGGGGGGACCCAATGTTCAATGCAGGCCTAATTAATGATACCCTCCCCCCTTCGGATTCAATGCGTATGTAATATAGAGTTCTTTTCTTATTATTCTCATACTTAGAATATAAATTTACATTTGAATGGACATAGTGAGGGAGAATATAACATATGCAATTAATGTAGCAAGCTTATTACAAGTTTAAAATCTCTGCAAAGTGGGGTCCTCATTACACGACCAGTCGTTCAATACAGCTGTGAGCACCATCTAAATGTACTATACTCGGCACTCGGGGTCATTGAGCAGTGACGGATCTTTTTCGTGCCAGCACGTACTGCGACACGACCTCGACTTAAATTGTCTTATCCAAAGGACCGTTCTCACCCACAGTTGGATTCGAACCCGCGACGTAAGGATTGACTCCTTTCTTCGCGACTCGATATTATTTTTACAATCACGAATTAAAACTTGCTAAAGGGGTATGAATGTCAAATGCATCGATAAAAAGTGCATCAACGAGTTATTTAATGAATTCTATAAACAGAATTGAAACACATCATTTAGATTAACCAGATACCTATAAAATTTCAATTAAAAATTTAGAAAAAAATTAATATTTACCAAAATATAGACCTGGAAAAGGTACACAGCATTCCCCGTTCGTACATTTTACGCCATTTTCACCGCATCCAAACATGTCACAACCGGCGCGGATACCCGACAGTGTTCTTGTGCCTTAGTAAATACTACTCAACAGTAAACAATAACGATGAGTTCAGACCACTACTTGTGTCTCAGTAAAAATGAATGACTGCCTAACTCGGAGTTGGTCCGTCATGTAGACCTTTCTGTGGGTGAGACCGCAGGCGTTTGACCGTTAGACGCTGGGAGCTCGTTTATAAATTTATAATAAAGCCTTTACAACCTTTATGACGTCAATCACTCAATGCATGATATTTGGCGCCATAATGTCAAATAGCTGGATAGCCTGGTTCCCTGTCCCTGTTTTGCTTCGTATTCTCCACGTGACCAGGGCCAGGTGGAGTACAATGGATTCAGGGCGAATCTGCCCTGATTCTTAGCCCATTGTGACGTCGAAAATGGCTGCGATTACGGTGAAGACGTTCATTGTGACGTCGTATTTTTCTACGTCGTCAACGTAATATATCATTGTGACGTCATTATTTATTTCCGTGGTTAACGGCAACGGCTCAGAAATCTACGATATAGAGCGCATTTCTCTAACCAATCAAAGGAAAGCATAGAATGTAATCAACCAGGCTCTCCTTCCTTGGCAAGGATGAGACAGGGGACCAGGCTAATAGCTGGAAAACGTCGGATGCGCTTAACTATTATACTCATCAGAAGTGTTTCAAATGTACTTTATAGCTTTTGCCGCTTAGTATGAAAAACAAAGTGTAATTATAGCGAGCGCAGCGACGCTCGCGAAGCGAGCTCAATAGACTAACGTGTATGAACAGAGGAAATTCGGATTGAAATCTGAACATACGTCAGCCAAATTTCTCTGTGGAACATTCCCAGAATTCCTGCACTACCCAATGTCCTTCGTGCGTATAAATCAAAAATAGTAAAAAAAATTAAAGGAACATTGTTTCCTACCGAAATCTTAACGAAATGATTTTGCCTTACCTTATTAGAAAAATACCCCCATGCCACAACACCGGTCTTCACCTTGCCCTTCGGAACTGATACAAATGACGTCACCGGAAACCTACGAATTTTGACGAAGTTATGTCGATTGCTTCCGTGAAACTCTGAAAACATGTTGTGGTGCATAGCAGCATGGTGGCTAAAACATAGCAACAACTTACTCGAAAAGAACGATTTAATGCAATCTCTTTTCCATAAAACTAGCGTTTGCGTGCTAAGTCAACAGAACTTTTTATTTGACGTCATACTTTCGTTACTTCAACGGTTCGGGTATTTCCGATTATATCGGATACTTCCGAGAAGTTTTGAATCTCGATCCCGATGCTTGGGAAATGATTTCTTTTTATTGCTTTGTTTTATTCGTTTTGCTTTCTTTTTCTTGAATGATAGACAGTACATGTGTAGGTTTATGATATTAAATAAACTGCGCTCGCCCCAACGGTCACACCGTAAAACATATTAAGGTTTTACTCTAATTAACAGTGAATGGATTTATTATTTATCTAAATTATCAGAGGTTAGCACATTAGGTACTAAGTAATTGCTTTTATGATGCAGTCAACGGTTTGTTTACATTGCGTATTCCTCAAAACAATGAGGTGAACAATGTGCACCCAGATCATTATACATTCCAAATAACGTGAATCAATAATAAATGATTCATAAGAATAAATGTCGATACATATTATTCATTCAATTATTCATCGAATCATTATTTTAACAATTCATATCACAAGAAACATCTTGTTTACTTATTCATAACCATAGTGGAGAATGCCAAATTCGTAACACGACCCCCTCCTCTATTTAACATTCGTCCGCGAATGTCTACAAACATTCAACAATAAACAATCTAAATTAATGTTCAGTGAACAAAAACTCCAATATCTCGATTATCTGGTTATCTCGAAAAATAGGCCTAGTCTTTAGGATATCCAAGTTAAACTGTAAGTTCACTTTATCATAAGCAAAATCGAATAGGTAAAAACACATAACATTCAATCTATTACAATGCTCAAATTTCGATAAACACGACGCACTTGTCGCATTTTTAAAACGAAAGTAGATATCGTGACATGTCTTCGCATGACTTATCAAATTTAAAAGGCGTGACGTCAAATCCTCATGCTGAGAAATGAATCGCCACTGAATCTTCACAAAGTTCCTTCAAAATTCTTGCAAAATGGACTAAATGCAATTGTCAGTAAGTAGAATTTGACTACTTGTTACATATTCCATTTGATCTGACTATAAGCAAATATATTAATGCGTTGCGTTGTTTTTCAGCAATTGTGCACAATTTGCATTGACATCAGTCAAACATTCTGTGAAGTATAAATACGTCAAAATAATTCAATCTGTGTCATTGCTGATCCATATATTTTATACGATTCCCATACTCTTGGGGACTCTCCACAACATGTACGAAGAGAAAAATCAAAGGTAAGTAAAGGTAAGTTGGACAATATTTCAATGTTCATAATATGACTGCTTGATGCATAGAATGCATGAAGTAAGTGCATAAATATAATAAGATATTATTGATCAAATTTTTACAGATCATTGAGAGTATAAAAACTCAACAATAATAATCTCTTCTCATTTTCGCAAGAATGTTCAAGAAAACAATTAATATTTCATGCATGAAAAAATCAGCAAATGTCAAATATTCATATTACAGTAAAATTTGTCTAATCCGGACTCTGAGTACTCCGGATTTTTGTCCATTCCGTCTATAAATTTTAGTCCCATGCACTTCTTTAACAAATTCATTAGAAAAAATTCTGTGTAGTCCGGATACTGTCTATTCTGTATTCCGAACGGCTATACTGGTCCCAACTGCTCATAATTAACGGTAATCATTCCCTCTAATCCGGTGTAACGACGAAAAGTGACCCCCGTAGAATATTGACCGGGGGTCATTTTTCTACGTAGAAATTTGACCCCCTGGTCAATATTCTACGTAGAAAAATGACCCCTTTTTCTGTAGAAATCATGGCATTGGGGTCATATTTCTCCGTGTGCATTGTAAAAAATTGACCCCGTAGAAAAATGACCCCCTGTCATTTTTGATGCCAAAACAATTCATTTTAGAAGGAATATTCTTATTAGGCATATCCAAGCGGGTAATATCAAGCTGACTTATGCTTTAAAGTGTTAATTTCTGAAAGCTTTTAAGCTAAGATAACGAAATCAAAGCGATAAAATACCTTGCATTAATGATACAAACTGTTTATCTCCACTAAAGGAAAACGGTATCAAAATGTTCTAACCCAAAGGCTATAAGAGCAAAGATACGAGAATTCATAGAAACTTTTATTAAATTTTATATACCAGTAATTTTATACCAGTAAATAAGTTTCCATAGTTGCCATTTTAATTCTAAAAAAGGGTTATTTCCAAACTTCCGCCAGAGTTCGTTTGTACCAAACCAAATCTCAAATCTCTGTGTGCGGAGAAGCAGAGGACTATGGGTAGTATGGGTCATTTCTAGCTGACAGTATGGTGTCAGAGAGAAAAGTTTCCGTTATTAATCAATAATGAATCTTTTTGATTTTACCCAGGATACATAATTTTTTAAAAGTTTAAAGTTTTTTATCCATATTTTTAAAACGGGCACGAAAAAGTGTTCCAACATAGAAAAATCGTATAAAAATATTTGATTTTCTATGAATGAAGTTTCAAACTTTTTTTAAAAAATAGGGATTATTTAATTTGTAAAAATAAGTACTAAATTTAATTGCCTCTGACCTTTATGTATGATACAAGGAAAACAAAAAATGGTTAGCTCAAAACCTGTAAAATGTCTTTTATCGTTTGCTAGTGTTAACAAAATAGGGATTGTAGCATAAAACACGATTAACTAAAAAAAAAATAATAATAAGTTCCCATCTTTTCAAAAAAAAGGGCACATGTAGTATCGTTTTCCCCGTTCTATCATGTACATAAAAATACATATGGTAATTTTAGGAGTTTTTTACCAATAGAAAAAAAATTTAGATGATGAAAAAGTTGTTACTTTACATGATATACTTATGCCCCCGTAACCGAAATTTCCGGGGTTTTGCCCCTGTAAACGAAGTTTCTGGGGTATATAGCATTTTACCTGTCTGTTTGTATATTTTTCCGCAAAACTTGAACCTTGCCCATGCCCATGACTGGGTAAGACTACGGCTTTCATATTTCACAAGTGTATTTTTGTGACAAGACCTTTTAGTGTAAAATCAATTTTGACCTTTTAATATTGACCTTGGAGTTTGACACACTTTTACACAAGGAGAATATGGAGATATTAACTAACAGTATTCAATATCAAAGTCCATAAAACAATACAAAATATAAAGGAGCAGAGCAAACACGAACCTCCAAAACATCAGAGATGGAATCAGGTGCCATAGAGGAATGAGCATCCCCTGCTTACCGGTCACACCTGCCATGTTCTCCTTGTCATGACTGGGAAATAACAGGAAAATCCTCCGCAAACTCGACGCACAAATAACGGACCAACAAAAAGCACGAAAAACATTTGTCAGCATTTGTTTCAATTTGATGAATTGCATTTGCTGACAATGTCATTGTGTCAACCATAGAATTAACGAAATGTTGACTTCAAATGAGACTGCCGATATTCTTGTTATTTATTTCATTTACTTGCTTGTCAATAATTTACTTCGATTTAGAAATTGTTCATATGTAGAGCACAAATTCTGTTTCAAGTGAATATAAAAATAGATTTACTTATAACAAAGCGCAATTGGTACCCATGGGAATTCCAATATATTGTCGGAATATCTGGTCTTCAAAAAAAAAAACCCCAGATATTGTCGATCAGTAACTCAAGCATCTCTTTCACGTCAACTTAAGAGTACTTGTGTGTGCAATGTGTTTTAACAAAATAATTTTGCAAATGACCAATGACCATTGTAAATTTACAAGTTCCGTTTTATTAAAAAAGCAGCTGTCATTGAAATAAAAAAATCCTGGTTCACACCACTTTTTGAATATATTGTTGCGCAGTACACTAAGAGATTTTCCTTTTTTACTGTCAATACTTTAGTGCGGAGTACAAACGAGATTTGAATGAACATTTACTGGAACCCGCAATGTGTCTTTGTTTGGAATCCAATATATATCGGGTAATTCAAATTTATTTTTGCTCTGTGTAATATTTAAAATATTTAAAACTGACCTAAAATTTTGAAGAATTTCTTCCTTAGAAAGGGAAGTATGAGTATAAGTAGGATTACCACTTGTAGAATTAAATCTTAAAAATTCTTCTAAAATACAATTAATGAGACTTACAAACGAAGACAATGTTGTTACCTGCTTTGTCGACAAGGACCAGTACGTACTGATCATATAATCTATCTATTTTTTTTCATCTCTGGATTATTGAACACAGAATGAATGGGGGTTTTCATATTACCCCTCAATCTTTGAATACGCGGCATTAACATGGATCTGATACATTTAATCCATTGTGGAAAAAATCAACAATTCCACACTTTTACTTTAACATTAACTTTTGGACGGTATGTGCTAGAAATTTATTTTGAAGTAAGGGCATGACAACTAAGAGTTCATTAATTTGCAAAGGTTACCAGTGTCTATAAAATCTCAGAAGAAAGTGGATGTAACAGCAACCATTGGTCACGTATCTGTGGGCTAGAAAGTGTTGAAAAGAGATTTTTTAGTTTTATTTTAATTTATAGATTTCTCTGAAGGTTGAACTATTTTTCACTCAGGTGTAAATTTTTGCCAGTTTTGGAGAAATTTGTAATATCATCATAAGAACTTCTTGATGTGTATTGTATTTCCTGTATATAAAGTAAAAAGTATAGTAATATATAGGGTAGTTAAAAAGTATGTATTTTAAAGCAGAATAAATGCATACAGATGTATATGTAAGTTTAAAGGTAAGAGGCAATGGAATTGAATTTATATATATAGTTAAACAGTGTTGCTATCGATGTTCGGAGGTCCATGTTTGCGCTGCTCCTATTTTGTATTGTTTTATGGACTTTGATATTGAATACTGTTCGGTATCTCCATATCCCTTTTTCTTGCTTCTGTGCTATTTTTTTTTCTTGCAAGAATTTTCAAAGATTATAATAATTAGAAACGTATCATGCCATTTTCGGAATAAAACCTTTGAATGAAAAAAAAACCAAAATATATAATCATAAATTATGTTCTCGATGAATAAATATTCATTAGGATTCTGCAAGCAAAAAATATACCCATACCAGATACATGCATTGGTTGTGATGCTACGTTTAAGATATGCAATTGAATATAAGTTGGAAAGGATAAGATTGCATAAAAAAAATCCCCCCTACTTGGATTTGAAAGTACAATGAAAACTGTCTAATCCGACACCTGAATAATCCGACACACTGTGGATTCCAACGTTAAATTTCTTTCCCATTTTAGTATTTTCCTTGTTTTTAACACTGTGCAATCCGACACCCTGTCTATTCCGACAAAAAATTCGTCTCCCAGTTCATGTCGGATTAGACAGGTTTCACTGTATGAAAAAATCAGGAGACACATATACAAGGTTTTATTGTATAAAATATAGGGGGTCAAATTTCTATGAGGGTCATTTTTCAACGTGTGTGAAGTCGTAGAATTAATGGTTTGGAATGTTTTTCTACAGTCGAAAAATGACCCTACTTGTCGTAGAATATTGACCGGGGGGTCATTTTTCTACGTAGAAAAATGACCTCCCGGTCAATATTCTACGGGGGTCACTTTTCGTCGTTACACCGGCCACACATAATTACCTGAGTTACTTCAAAGCAATTAACACCTTTCGTGGTGGAGATGTGATAATCCGTGTTTACATTAGCATTAGTGCCATGAGACGAAATCAGTGAAATGCGGCGGTGACACAGCCCGCTTGACAAAATATTATATGATTAAATTACAATTTTAAAAAATATTAACTTTGTTTTAACTCCTTTTACCACTTTATAACATAAACACAAAAATATATATGTACGCGATTTACAAATCAAAATAATAATCGGGATCGAAAATCGAACGCATTTCAAAATGGCGCCATAACACTGTGGGGGAAGACGTAATTTATTTTTTACATAAAAATTAAAAGTATAATCCAATAATTAGCACATCGTAAATAATTGTGCATTACTGTCTATACATTGAATGAACTTTCTGACAAGCGAAATCCGGTCCGCTTGATATATAGTAGGCCTATATTATGCGTGCCTGTAGATTTTGATTTAGGACATTTCACCCGACTTTCAAACTTCGTGAACAAACAAAAAAATACAGTAAGTCATGTGAGACTATTTGATAATTTCTAGACGCCAAAATGTTGATTGATTTCATCATTTAATCATATTTTATATGTATATAAAGTACTTGTAAATAAACAACTTAATTTTCAAAAGTAATATTTTCCTGCATTTTTTCTGCACTCCGGATTCTGTCTAAACCGGCCAAATTTTATGGAACCGGCGGTAGCCGGATTGGACAAATTATACTGTATCTAGCTATTTCAAAACCATGTTGGTTTATTCTCACCAACAGTTTCATTGTTACATTTTCAGTTTGTTTTGTAGGGATATCAAAGGGCAGAGCATATTTACAACAAGATCTGGTTGTAACAGAACAGTTTTCAGGTATTTTAAGCTCTTAGTGTTGTCGTAAGGATGTAAAAGTTAAATTAACAATGTGGTTTACCTCCTTGCCCATAGTCCCTGTCAGATAAAATAGGTGAACTTGTTAGGGCACGCTTAAGCTTGTCAAAAGATTTGTGACAGTCTTCATCCCAAATAAATTTATGACTTAGTTCAGTAAGTTTGTGCAGGGTCTCCCCATATCAGAAAATTCAATTGAGAAACTACTCTGAAATTCTATTAGCAATTCTCTTAATTTTTGTTGATGTTCTTCATCAATATTTTTACCAGAATTCTCAAACACAGACTTCAAATGTTCAGGAAAATTTTCATTTGTTTTCATTTCATGTTTTGTCAAAACATTTATTGATTGGGGAGTACTTTCAATGATCCCTGAAGTATCATCTAAATTTGCCACAACAGTCCCTTTAAAAATTTTGACACTCTGATCACCTAAGTTCATGTATCAAACAGGTACTCTATCATTTTCAACTTTTGCTAAAATCTTAAAAACTAATACATCATGTTTATCTAAAAAATTTGCCACAGGCTCTAACAACTTAACCTTGTCATTAAATAATGGGTTTTCTACTTTAGCCGGGGCAATAAATTCACGGAGAAGGGGAATCTCTATAGTTTCCGTCAAAAATACCTTACAACATTGTTTATTTAAAGCTTCATGTGTAAAGCAAGAAACATCTATCCCCTTTATTCTAAGTTTCATTTTGTTCTACAGAACATCACAGTTGTGGTCTTTCATGAAATCTAAACCCAAAATACATTTGTTTTGGATATTAGCCACTAAAACATTATGAGTCTCCCACACATATTTTCACTAGGCATTCCCCTAGGACAGCTATTTTCTCCCCACTAGCAGAGATTAGATTTAAAAATGAAGGTTTCAAATCTAATTTGCCCTTTAACCCTGAACTGTCTGCTAAATTTGAGCTAATAATTGTTACACTAGCTCCTGTGTCGACCATCATTGTAGTCTGAATGTTCTCAATTTTTCCTATTACAAAAATTCCTTCACCACACCCCTTTACATCACCTACTGTCTCATATTTGGGTGGATTTTCAAACTTAGCAATTTTCTCAACATCATTTTCTGATTTATTTATTGTTCACATCATCATTTTCTGATTTATCAATAGTTAAATTGTCATCGCAGTTACATTAACTGTCTTTTGGGGACTCTTTTTAATACACTCATTTTTTCTAACAGGAAAAGGTCCTTTTATTTCAACTTTGTTTAACAGTGATTGGGGCCTACCTCTGCGCTTTGTCGACTTCCGCCCCCTGAATTCGACACGGGAAAGTTTCCCTGATTTGAGGATTGAAAGTGACCATTTCTGAGAATGTCTGTTTGGGTATGTATTTCGTATGTCAAAATTGTTCTCATTGAATGGCTGCCTATGAACTTGAAACCCATTGCTAAGTCGATCATTTTGTGCATTCCTGAACCGAGGATGCACCTCGCTTGAATGAGATAAGTCTTTTAGGAGTGATCAAATCTCTTTTGTAAGTGATTGGAGATCATTTCTTTAGACCCTATTTTCTTGTTTGATCGAGGCAGGAAGATTGGTATCCATTTCTGGATGTATGGTATTGACAAGTTTTACTCTCTGAGCATCAGCCCGTTCGTGAGTTTCAAATCTTATAGCCAAAATCTCAGCCTCATTAATGTCTCTGGGTCTACTTTCTCTCAAGCGAAGGCGCATATCCGGATTTGAAAGTGCATCTATGAAGTGATCTAATGATAGAACATTTGTCAAGTTTCAATCGACAGTAGGATATGCTTGCCTAGTAAGTTAATTGATAGATTGTGCAAGTTCAGATAAAGATTCTTTGTCACCTTTGGTTTTTGTCTTTAACTTAGTTCTGAACATCTCAGATCGTTCAACTGAACTATAACGCCTATCAAGAATCTTGACTAGGGAATCATAATCTCTGCGCTGAACTTCGTTAAGCTCATTTAAAAGTGCACGAGCCCCTCCCGCTAAACTGCTGGCTAGGTATAGTGATTTTGCCCTATAATTTCAACCATGTAGATCAACCAAGATTTCAAACTGGGCAAGATAATCCCCAAAATCTTCTGCCCATCAAATCTAGGTGGTTTAAAAGATACAATAGGTTTTGAATTGAAAGGGGAAGGAACTCTATTTTCATTACAATTTATCTCCCTTGCAGGGGTATCTATGTGACCAATACTTTCCCCAGCCCCGATGATAGGAGACTGATCATGAGGACCCAGGGACTCTCTACACCCATGCACTTGATATCTGAATGCATTATCTTTGGGGTTCCCCTTTTGTTTTAATTCATCTACTTGTTTTTGTAATTGACGAGAATCTCGTCTCATGTTTGACAATTGTTCATCTATGTCTTGTCTAAAGTTTATGACGTCTTTGTTCATTATTTCTACAGCTCTTAATAAAAGTTCATTTACATTTTCAGCCTTATCAGAGCCTGATATCTGTGTAGGAGAAGAGGTACCGGACCGTTGATACACATCACAAGTGATGTAATCATTCAGATCGAGGAACCTGCACAAATTCTCCTCAGAGGCTTCAAATTGGCTGTTTTCATTTGACATTATGACTTTTGTTATTGGCTATTGCAACACAAATTTATGTGTTTATATGTCAATGAGCTTGTCATTGTCAATAGACTTAACAAGAATAAAAGAAAGACTTTATCCTACTTCTGACACCAATTGTTACGACTTACGGCTGTCTATATTTAGCGGCGTAACATTGTGGGGCTCCTTAATCTGATTGTTGAACGAAAGACAACAGGATATAATCTGTTTTTAATATTTTATTGGATTTTATTCAAATAAATGTACAAAAATACTCTTCTTTGGCTCTGCGGTCCTCACCTGAAATAAAAACAAACCAACCACCATTTCCAACAAATGTTAATTGAAAAACCACCCTTAAACAAACCCTTTAATAAACACGAATAGACCTTATATCTTAAGGTCTTGAATAAAAATTGAACTAGTGATTTCTTCCCCCAGTGAGTATAAATATAAAATGTCAGGTTATAGCAAACAACTAATTGTATAGGAACAAAAAGGTATGCTAATTTCTCAATACAATGCATCTAGCATTTGTTAAGGGGGCTCTCTACACCTGTAAAGTAAAACTGATTTTTGTTGCATGCATTTGTTTCTAATAATAGGCCCCATATCCGATAAAATAAGGTTCCAAAGTACTTCAATTTATTTTTAGAAATATTTGATTTATTTTGTTAAAATCCGTCCTATCTATATTTTGAAAAGCCCAGTGCTTTAAATTTCTCTTTAATGTTTAGTGTTATAAAATATTGAAATAATAATACCAACAAAGATAAAATTAAAATCAACATAATTTTTATTTAAATTTACAAAAATAGATAAAAGAAAAACTAAAACAGCATTTTCTTGAGAATAGCTGGTTGGATCCTCTTCAATATCTGAAAAGATATATAATATCAAAGGGTGAAAACAATTAAAAAAAGAAATTGAAAAAAATTGAAAAACTGTCAAAAATTTATAATCATCACAAAAATTCAGGTGTGAGAGATCCGCTTTAAGAGTGGACTCAAATATCTTGGTACTGTTTCTTTTTATATAAACTTCAAATAAACTCTACTTGCACAAGTATTAAACAAATGTCACGCAAGAACATTGAAAGAAGTTTGTATTGTACATGTATTGTTTTTCAATGAGTTTAAGCGAAAATCATCGCGTTTCCAGTCAATGACAAAGACATGTTGTTAGTGAATTCATGGTATCGAGAAAGGTAGATTTACTTACCGTTTTTATCCAACTTGCATTGTGTTATCCAGTGCTATATATAACAAAGCAAGTTAAGATGGTAAATGGCCAAAATCGGTAAAAGAAATTCCTATAACCAAATGCACACTTCGTCTAAAACCTGCACGTTTCCCATACTTGTAAACAGCTGACAATCAATGGTGATCAAACGTTTGGGTCATGCGAAATTTCACCGGGTATAACCATTCATTCGGGTGTATACAAATTGAGAATTGTTTGGGGGATATATTTTGCTGAAAAGCATAATATATGCTTATTGGAGAAATAAATTTCTGAGTATATGGCGTTTTGACACGTAATGATGAATTAGCATATGGACAAGCCATGTTTTATATGACTTTTTTCTTATCTACAAATCTTATTCTAATAAGTTTGTAAATGTATTAATTAATAATTAAATACGTAGAAATTGAATAAATTGACAAACAATTCATTTTTAAAGAAAGGATACGTATTGGGCAATATACTGTATTAATTTATGTGATATAATGTTCATTCCATCCACAATATCGCATGTTGTGTTATACTCAGTGATTTATCGGTGTTAAGTGAATTTGAATCTGATCATTTGGGATCAAAATGGCGATTTTACGTAAGTACGCCATGTTGTGACGTTGTAAAGAGCCCCCTTAATATTCACAGGTTATAGCAAACAACTAATTGTATAGGGACAAAAAGTTATGCTAATATCTCAAAACAAAACTCAATACAATGCACCATGCATTTGTTAGTAATAATGTCAGGAGTTATGAATATCAAGTTCAGGTCACTTCTTGTGCCTTAGTAAATACTACTCAACAGTAAACAATAACGATGAGTTCAGACCACTACTTGTGTCTCAGTAAAAATGAATGAATAACGCAATAAAATGTTGCTAACAAATTCAGGTTAATAACTACCCATCATTTCAATTTGTTTGTCTTTCTGTTTAAAAGAGAACCCTTTCAGATGGGGAGACTGCCTAACTCGGAGTTGGTCCGTCATGTAGACCTTTCTGTGGGTGAGAACGCAGGCAGTTGACAGTTAGACGCTGGGAGCTCGTATATAAACTTATGATAAAGCCTTTACAACCTTTATGACGTCAATCACTCAATGCATGAGATTTGGTGCCATAATGTCAAATAGCTGGATAGCCTGGTTCCCTGTCCCTGTTTTGCTTCGTATTCTCCACGTGACCAGGGCCAGGTGGAGTACAATGGATTCAGGGCGAATCTGCCCTGAATCTTAGCCCATTGTGACGTCGAAAATGGCTGCGATTACGGTGAAGACGTTCATTGTGACGTCGTATTTTTCTACGTCGTCGACGTAATGTATCATTGTTACGTCGATATTTATTTCCGTGGTTAACGGCAACGGCTCAGAAATCTACGATATAGAGCGCATTTCTCTAACCAATCAAAGGAAAGCATAGAATGTAATCAACCAGGCTCTCCTTCCTTGGCAAGGATGAGACAGGGGACCAGGCTAATAGCTGGAAAACGTCGGATGCGCATAACTATTATACTCATCAGAGATGTTCCGAATGTACTTTATAGCTTTTGCCGCTAAGTATGAAAAACAAAGTGTAATTATAGGTTTTACTCTAATTATCATTGAATGGATTTAGTATTTATCCAAATTATCAGAGGTAAGCACATTAGGTACTACGTAATTGCATTTATGATGCAGTCAAGGGTTTGTTTACGTTGCGTAGTCCTCAAAACATGAAGGAAATTCGGAACGAGGTTTACAATTTGCACCCAGATCATAATAAATTCCAAATAACGTTAATCAATAATAACAGATACATAAGAATAAATGTCGATACATATTATTCATTTAATCAATCACCGAATCATTATTGTAACAATTCATATCACAAGAAACATCTTGTTTACTTATTCATAACCATAGTGGAGAATGCCAAATTCGTAACATAAGCTTGAATTTGAATATGAATTAGCATCTTGAATACATGGTGTCATGTTGAAAAGCATAATAGCGATAAACATATGATTGCGCCCATGAGAAAAGGGTCCTTATGGCATTTTTGCTAAAACAGAGAAATAATGTCATAAAGATGTGACATTGCAAACTGACGGTGAACTTTGACGCAGATTTTTTTTAACCACGTGTTTTGACGTTTGACGCATTCAGAGTTTTTATCGCTGTTTCCAGCATGTGGAATTTATTTTCATTTATAAATTAATTTAATCAATACCCGAATCTCCTAATCCACTGATTTTAATAGATATAAATAAAAACATTTAGAACTGGTTTCTTAACAAACATTATTAAATACGTCTCTATAATACGAATAGTTTTCCTACATGCGTAATTAAATTATAGAAGCTGTAGACAAGGTGTTTTCCGATAGCATATTGAACCTTTATACTCTAGATAAATTTTATCTACATATTTATACCATTTTTAGAATACATCTTAGACAGGGTATATCGTAAAAAAATATTGGAAAGGAAAATTGTCTTTCTACTTCTTTGAGATCCGCTCCACCACTCTCAAATATACATCACGATC